GTGGTTTGGGTTCCTCAGCAAAGTGTACACCTCTCCCCATTGTACATGGCCAGGAAATAGGTTGCAGGCTGGGTGGATGCTGATAAAAAGAGCCACCACCTTCATTTTTCCCTTGAAATCCCCCTGGGGAGGGGGGGAGTGTTGACTGACTCTGTGACAGGGCTGACGTGATACCAAACCTGCTACCTTCTCCAGCCATTTATCTTCTGGGGCCAGTCGAGTGTAGACTGTGCTGGACTCCGTTATTTCGGGTCCTGTGTCTCTGTCTGGGTTTTCTCATCTGACCAATGACTGGCTGAGAAGAGGAGCCCAGGATGAGCCAGGGTCCAGTGCTGTGGCCTGTGCTCACTGGACACAAATCCAACCTCCACTTTCCCTCCTGCTGCTACTGACAGGTCCCCAGAGTAGGGGACTCAGGTGTGCCTACACCTGGTTTTCTCTTCCATGGGGATAGGTTGTCAACTCCTGGCTAGCCTGGAGGAGGGGTAAGCATGAATAGCTGTAGCGTTGGAAAGGCTCCACGGCCTCTCCAGTGTCTGGGACCAGGGGTATTGGAGCAATAAGATACAGAGGGAGGAAAAGACTGTCTTTCCTTACTTTATTTAGCAGTGGCCAGTGATTCTTCAGCCCAGACCCTGTGGAGGGGACACAAGGGAGGAGCTTGGATCTCACAACACAGAAGACAACCAGGCGAGGGGGTGGTTCAGGAAAGAACAGGCCTTACATCTGCACACGGGTCATGCAGGACCTGAAGGGCAGTGAGAGTCTCAGGGCAAAGGTGGACGGCAAGGAAGGGTGCTCCTGGGAGAAGGAACCGCAGCGGTCAGGCGGGGACGGAGGGCGGCGCGGAGAGAAGATGGAGTTCAGCTCTGAGACACGGAGGCATCTCCAGGCAGGGGAGGGAGAAATGGGAGATTGGGGAGTGTCCCTTCTAGCTGGCGCGTCAAGCGGGCCCTTTGCAGCCTCCTGCGTAAAATCTACGGGCCAGCGTTAGTGGCAGTGAGCGCGAGTGACCGCTAGGGAGCCCAGCCTCAGACAGAAGCCCAGACGCCGTAACCCACGGCGAGGTACTCAGACCAACGCAGTTGCAGCGTTCGCGGCCGTCGGCAGAGCGCATGCGCAGCCCGCCCTGACTCATCCTCGTGACGCAATCAGTGCGCGCCGTCCAGAGCTCCGCCCAGACTTTCCTGGGCTCTCCTGGAAGGCGGTGCCAGTAGGCGGTTTACTGCTTTCCTCTTCTGTTAACGAGGCAGGGAAAAATCTAACTTCTTCAGAGGTGGGCCCCCAGAAGCCTCCGGGGCCTCCCACGCCCACGGGCCCCCACTTGTGGACCTTCATTGCTGAGTACGGACGGAGGCCCTTTTGTTCCGCGGCCACGCCCCTTGTCGCTCACCAGAGACGATCGTCCTTCAGGCCTTGCTTCTCCCCTGTGTCCTGGTCCTTCCTGCAGGATAAGCTCGTGGATCACGATCGGCGGACATTTTATTTATCTCCCTTTCTCCCCCATACAACCCTGGGGGAATCTCCCGGGCTCGAGAGGAAAGGGTGACTCGCAGGGACTCCGGTGGTGGGGTCCGTGGCGGGCGACCAGCGGCAGGCTGCCGTGCGGTCCCAGCACGGTCAGCGCGTGAAAACTGCCCCGGAGTTCTGGGAGCGTCAGGAGGCAGTGCTGCCCCACGAGCTAGTGAGTTGCCGCCACGGTAGGCATTTGAGCAGAACTGGGAATCAGAGGGGGTGAGATGGTGTGTCCCTTGAGGTCACTTTAGGAGACCTAGTCTGAACTCAAGTGATGCCTCCCAGGTTAGGCCGGGCCAATGAAAGATGAAGTGGGTGGTGAGTGGGTGTGGCCCTTCTCGGCTCGAGGAGACAAATGTGACAAGTGTGATAAGGGCCACGTTGGGAAAGGTCAGGGGTCAGGGCTTGCGAGAAGGCTGCTGTCAGGTGTATTTGCCAGGCGTGCTGGAAGGAGGGGGACTCTAGGACCACACCTTGTTTTCCACGCTTGCCAGTGTTCCCCGTTCTCTATTGTTCTTTCAGACCAACAGGCCAGTCCTTGCCAGTGTTCCCCCGTTCTCTATTGTTCTTTCAGACCAACAGGCCAGTCCTCCCCTATACCTACATACCCATCCCTTGTCCTAAGTGTGCCCAGACCCTGGTCCCAGATTTTAAGGAGGCCAGGAGTTCCTCATATCCCTGATTCTGTGTGCCTTTTACTTAAGACCCCTGTACAGGCAATCTGTAAACACATAAAATTTAAATAAAAACGTCAGTGAGGAAAATACTACTGTAAGATTGGGTTTGCTGTGAGTGCTGGGAGGGATAGAGCTGGAAATTAAGAATTCTCTTAGCTGCCTAAAAGGAGGCAGTCTCTAGGCTGGGGGGTCAGCTGTGTGGCACAGTGGTAGAGTGCTTGCTTAGCATGTGGGAGGTCCTGGGTTCAGTCCTCAGCACTGCAAAAAGAAAACAGATCTATTTATCAAGAGTGATTGGGTTTTTTGGATACTAAGCTCTCACTCATTCATCACCTGCACAGAACATGAAAAACTCAGGGATGCCCATACAGTTGTAAGAGGAGTCTCAGGTAATTTGGGGTGGGGGAGATGAAGGGCCTGGAAGCCCCATCCTGGAGGGGGTAAGACACCCATCCTCAGCCTCACAGCACTGACAGCAGGCTGGAGGTTGGTCCTTTGTGTTTCCTTGCCCTCCTACCTGAAATCATTGTCCCTTCTGGGTACTGTCCATAAGGCTTACAGGCTCCAGTCTGTGCCAGGTGGTGGAGGCTGCCTGAAGTCTTGGCTGTGACTTCCACTTACTCTGAGGATGTAGCTGTGGGTGGGACATACAGTTTCTTCACACAGATCTGAGGTGCAAATCAGTCATCTCCTGGGGCTCTCCCCAACACTGCTTCACCTTGGGGAGAGGTGGAGACTGTTCTGCCTCCATATTTGCCAGAAGACCTGCCTACATCTCGGCTCTTTTGCCCTCTCTGCTGCGAGGGCAAGCAATGGTCCCTGCCCAGTGGCCCTGGGTCTGTGCTGGTCTTCTGCCATTAGCCCCCTCTCTGAAACTTACTGATCCTGGTTAAATGTAGTTGGTTCCTCCAGACCTCTGCCTGCCTCTCCAGATGCTCTGGGTTTGTTCACTTTTCTCACTTCCAGTTCTTTCCTGCACACTATATCCCTTCCTTCCCTCAAGTCTCAGCTCCTAGAATTAAGGCTGCCTCTTTTGGGTAACATGATACAACCTACAGTGTGGGTTCCACCAGGGGAATGGCTCCTCCCTGCTAACAGAGCTGGGGAATCTCCACCCAGTCCAGTCAACATTTCTGGCTGGGCTACCTGATGTCCACCTTGTGCTTGTAGGCATAGGTAAGGGGATCTTAGGGATGGCAGGGTCCCTACTGAAGAGAAGGATGGGAGCCAGGTTGTGCCTGGGGACAGTCTCAGAGGATGTAGACCCATGCCATCCCCACCCTGCCCATAGCCCGGTTTAGACTTGGCCTCCTATAAAGGGGATGGAGACAGTCCCTTCCTGATGCAGGTGTGCAGTGAGTGGCTGGCATCTGGAGGTCAGTATGTGGGGGTATGGGGTTCCTTCTATGGAACTGGGGAGACTGAAACCTCCTGCAACCCAAGAAGAAAGCTACCTCTTGAGTTGTGTGAGTTTGTTCTGGGTTAGGAATTGAGCCAAGCCATTTATTATTGCAGCCTCTTAACTCAAGGAGGTGGATCTGATAATCTCATTGCTCAGGTTAGGAAGCTGAGGTTAGGTGACTTGCCCAAGGTCACACTGCAAATGGGACTGCAAAAAGTCTGAACCTGACTTTACCCTACCCCAACTTCCCGGATGCTGAGCCTGGCTTGCGGAGGCCCAAGGGTAGCCCGGTGCCAAACCAGTGCTGCCGCTAACCCTACAGGTTCAGTGGTGGCCTGCGCTGCAGGGACAGGGAGCTTCTGTATGGAGCTCCAGTGCTGTGTGTGGGTAGGGGATGGAGGACAACCCCTGTTGGGGGCCGTCTTTGTTTCACAGCAGATTGGGAAATCTGACTGTTGTGCATGTGGCCAACCCAAGTACATAGAGCACGCTGAATGGCAACCTGCTCGGAGCTCTCCCCTGAGGACCTCACTTCATTCTTCCCTTGCTGCATGCCTGGCCTGAACTCACAGGATGCAGGGCTGCCTGCGTGAGGCTGCAGGAGCCATTTACTCTCCCCCAAAGGCTTCAGGAATGGGATCTGCCTACCAGGAGACTCCTGCTGGCAAGAGGTAATTCCTCAGTCAAGAGCCAAATTCCTTGCCTGACTTTTCCCCTACTAAGGCACTTGGACAGGAAGGTGCCTCTGCCACTTGCATAGCCAAGCACCAGTGGATCCTGTCCTACCTGAGGGAGTCCTTTGCTTGGAGAGTACTTTCACGCATCTGTGGAAGAAGCCAGGGGAACCCTAAGCTTGGAGCTCTGAAGCTTCTTCCTGGCTTGGCTCCTACCTATAGCTGGGCCCTGGGGCAGGGCTCTGGCCAGGGCACACCCTCCTCTAGTTCAGGGGTGAGGTGCTCAGAAGTTCCTGGACAGGCAACCTTCCCCAAGGCAGCAGCCTCCCAGCCTGGAGGGAGAGGGGCCCTCCCCTGCTTCTAGCCTCAGGGGAGAACGGGGTGGATGTCCTCACCTCCCAGTTCAGCGCTCCAAGCACTTCCACTCTGCCTGCTTGTGATGTCTTCCGTGCCACCCGTGAGGCCTCATGGACATCCCCTTCAGCTGACTGAGGGGCCTTCCCACAGGCCACAGGGAAGGCCTGGAAGCAGTCTAGATCCTTCTTGGCCCTAAGCCATGCTACTGGGAAGCTCACACCGTGGTTGCAGCCAAGGTGGCCATGGCTTGCCCATCACCCTGCATGCTACAGTGTCTTCAGGTGAGGGTGGGCTGGCTCTCTGGGGAGGCTCAGCCATCAGTGCCCCCCCACCTACACAGGGGACCCCAGAGGGATGGATGCAGGAGCAGGAGACTGCAACAGGATCCGGTTTATTTTGCCTTGGCAGGGTGGTCCTGAGAGTGGCAGGTGCCACCCTGTCCCGGGCGGAGGGAGGGCCCGAGGGCCAATTAAGGCCAATGGCAGGAGAAGCAGGGGGCATGCAGCCCCTGGAATGCGGTGAGGCCAGGCCGAGGCCCGGAGGCAGCTGTGGTAGGCCAGGGCAGGATGCCCCTGCCACCCAGGGTGGAAGGCACCGGACTGTGACTGGGCCAAGGCTACAGGGCCGTGGATCCAGGCCACACGGGCACCCCGGGATGTGGAGCACAGGGTCATTTGACACAGAACATGAAACACAGGCACATGACTCTGTACAAGTAAGCACATGGATAAGTGGGCACAGAGTCATAGGGCTGAGGGACACTTAGACCATGGCCAGGCTGGACACGTGGACACAATGGTGGTAGTACACAGAGACCACAGGAGAGACAGCACGACGGAACACATGATGGCCACCATGAACAGACCAGGCCATGGAGCTCAAGGGATGAGGGAAGGGGCCTTTTGGCACAACTGCACTGGAATCACGAGACACGGTGGGGGGGGGTGGTCTGGAGCATCCAGGGCAGCTCCCCACGCACACCGTCTGGGCTTAGTCTGTCTTCCACACTTTGTTGAGCAGCTTCACCACCTCATCATAAATGATAAACACGATGGCCACATCCAGGCAGACCCGGCCCAGGCGGGGGACAGTGCCTTTGTAGAATCTGAGTGGAGGAGGGGTACAAGGTGAGCAGGACAGTGTCCCTGGAAAGGGTACTCCCCTCCCCCCATACTGGAAGAAAACAGAGGCCTAAAGGAAGACAGCCTGGGGCAGGAAGGTAGCAGGCCAGGGAGGGTCTGGGATAGGCACAACAGTTCTACCCCTCATCTACTCACGCCTTGGGTCCCTCGTTCTTGAGGATCTGCAAGCCACAGTCCCATGTGTTCCGGTATTTATGTGCCTCCAGACCCTGCAAGAGCCACAGTTCAGCAGCCAGCCCCTGTCCTGAGCTCCCATCCCCACCTTTCCAGCGCCTCAACCCCACCTGCATCCGGGTCTTGACCACATCCAGAGGCGTGTTCCCAAAGACACTGGCTGCACCAGCAATAACTCCAAACACCCCCGTGATCAGTGGGTTCATGGGCTTGTTGGGGTCATCCCCTAGATGTGAAGGAGATTGTGGTAAGAGAGTGCTGGTAGTGGAAAGGGAAATGGGTCTTTGAAGGCTGGGGAGAAGCCTGCAGCAGGGCCTGTAGAAGTGCCTAGCCTCTTCCAGGGGCAGCCCAAAGAAGCCAGGCTTGCAGCGTTTGGAGACAAGGTCCTGGGGCACAGACTCACCTCGGTACCAGTTGCGCAGGGAGGTCATGACAAAGAAGCGGATGGCTTGGTTGGAGCCCTGCTTCAGCACGGTGGCTGTGAGGCCCTGGTATGTCCCCTTCAGTCCTGGAGGCAGACAGGTAGACAGGCAGAGTCACCCTGGAGCCTCCCTCCCAGGCCCCAGCTATGGATTGGGGGCAGGGTGCCTGAAAGTCTAGGTCCTTTCCAGCCTGGATGAGATCCCTCTCCCTCTGAGTGGCTCACCTTGTTCCCGCACAATCTCTCTGATCCCGTGGAAAAATCCTCTGTACTTGGGGTTGGAGGAGGTCTGGTCATGGATGAACTTCACCTGGGAGAAGAAAGGCGTTGACTCCCGGGCCACCACCTGAAGGGCATACCTAGCCCTTTCACTAGCAGGCCAAGAGCCCATCAAGGTAGGTCAGGACTGGGGGTGCAACCCCTGCTTCAGCTACAAGCAGTGCCACCCTGGGCTGCTCTAGAACACAAGAGGGCCCACCTGGTGGAGGACTTTCTACAGTTATGTTTGTTGCTGTTTCCTATGGTTTGAGTAGTAAATGGGCCACGTTTTCTGTTTATAAAAGGTTTTTTTGTTTTACTTGACCTGATGTGTATGTATTTATTGGTACTGGGGTTTAAACTCAGGGCCTCACGCTTACTTAGCTAGGCACACTACCACTTTGAGCCATTCCACCAGCCCTTATGAAAGTATTTTTAAAAGACCTTCAGTAATGTTTTTGCTTTTTGCATAAACAGCCTCCCTGGGAGACCCTTCCTGCCAGATACCCTGCACCCTACCCGCCTCCTTCGAGATCCTGCCCACCATGCGGTCTCCATGGGGCACATGGCCGCCATGGACTGGAGTACCCATGAGGCTCATAGTCACAGCCTCGGGCACCCCCCCCACCCCTCTGCAAGCCTTGTTTCCGCGTGGGGCGCTTTCCCCACCTTGATGGTTTCCATGGGACACACGACCACCACCGCCTCCGCCACGCCAGCGCCCAGGCCGCACAGCAGCCCGCGCGTGCTGTCTAGCCGTCCCTGGGCGTCCCGCATCTGGTTACTGAGGAACTCGAACATTCCGAACCTGGGGGCGGAGACAGGTAAGAGGGGACGTCGCGGGGACCCCCCCCCGGGGACTCCCCCCTCCCCCCGCCTTGCGTCTGCCCCAAGCCGAGCCAAGCCTTACCTGACAGCCGCCTTGGGAATGGAGCCATACAGCAGGGAGCTGAGGCCACGGTACAGGCCCAGAACGCCATGGCTGCGGACCGTCTGTCGCACGCAGTCCACTGCGGGAGGGGGCGGTTAGGACTCCGTGGTCCTCGGGGCCCCCGCCCACCCACCCCCCCAGCGCCCGCTGCCCCGCACGCCGCCCCCTCCTCACCGATGCCCCGGTACCGCGGCGGGTGCGAGCGCTCGTCCAGCTGCAGCTGCGTCTTCACGTACTCGGTCGGGAAGGTGATGCAGATTTCGATGCCGCCCGCCAGGCCGCCTGCAGGGACCGGGCACCAGGGTCCTGAGACGCCCCTGCGCGGTGGCCCCAGCAGCCCGCCGCCACTCAGCCCCTCCCCCGCCCGGACTTTGTCCCACGTCGCCGCTTTCCAGTGCCTCGAGGAGGCCGGGCTGGGTCCCCACGCCCCCACCCCGTTGTCTACACCGTACGCGCAGGGGCGACACGCGGGGCGAGCCCACGCGCTGGGAAGGGACCAGGGCCGCGCCCCCCCACGACACCCCCCAACTCCCCGCCCTACCCGGAAGTGGGGCGGGGCCTCGGCGTCCCGGGCCCACCCGGAAGCACGGTGGGGCTGTCGGGACAGGGGTCCGCGTCCCGGAGAGGGCCCACCTGCCAGAATCGCCTTCCCGGGATGCGTCAGCTTGGCCTTCCCGGACGCCGGCGCGGCGGCCGCCAAAGCGCGGGGGGCGCGGGGCGCGGCCATGGCGGGCTAGAAGGTGGGCGCCCGGCGTCGGCCTCGGGTCCGAGCCTCAAGCACGGGGCACTCGGCAGGCGGCGGCAGCGGCAGCGGTGGCGGCGGTAGCGACCGGTTATGGTCCCCGGGGGCGGGGCGGCCTCGTCAGCTCCCGGGCTCCGCCCCGCGTGGCCTGAGTTTGGCCCCGCCCCCTCCCCGCCCCGTGCCAGCCGGGAAACTGAGGCCGGGGCGGGGCGCACTAAAGCAGGCGTCAGGGCGGGGACCAAAGCGCAGCCAATGGCCAGTGCTGGTCCCTGGAAAGCCTGGCGTGGCGGGGCCGGGGGCGTGGTCTTCGGAAGACAGCGCTGCGCCCCGGCGGGGAGCTGTAGGTCAAGGTGCAGTTTCTTTAACGCCTGCAAGCAGACACACGCGCTGGAAGCTGCGGGCCTTGGAGTCCGGGTCTGCCACGAGTGACAGGGTTCTCGGAGATCCCAGAGGCTAGTGGGCGCAGATCTTCCCCCAAGACACTTGAGGGCTTGGCCTTCGGACACCCCCTGGGCTGTGTGGTTACCACCTTCCCCCCTCCAGGATTTAGAGCTCTGTATAGCCACCTTGGTCAGGAAAAGACCCAAATACAACCGGTTGCATTCTCCTAAGCGGCTTCTGTGCGCAGACGCAGGCAGGGCCTCCACCTCCCAAGAGGTCTCAGCAAATCCTTAATAAAATCCTTAATAGGCCGCAGGGCCTATCAAATTGTCCCCTGTTCTTCCTACCCACACAAGCGCCAATAGAGAAGCTTTGCCTTAGTTAATTACTTCAATATTCATGATGGGAAGCCGGTGAGAATCACGTTGTGAGGTCTGGTGTCAGCCACAAGACAGTGTATTGTGTCTGTAAAGTAGGAGGCAGCTCTAGCCAGGGTGCGGTGAAGGAGTGTTTTCCCCCTCAAGTTCTAGGGAGTCTTTGCAGACTAAAAGCTCCCTAGCAATGCCTGGCTCCAGCCAGAGATCTAGAGGGAGGGGTCCACCTTTCCACTAGGCAGTCTGTATCCACCTGGGCTCCCCAGTCTCTGAGATGACTCAGAGGACATCCTTGGGTTTCAGCAAAAGTAATGTCTAGGCCAGGCCCGTGGTTCATGTCTGCAATCCTAGCTACTCAGGAAGCAGAGACCAGGAGGATCGCTGTTCAAAGCCAGCCTGGGCAAATAGTTTAAGAGACCTTATCTCAAAAATACCCAACACAAAAAAGGGCTGGCGGACTGGCTTAAGTAGGGTAGGGTGCCTGCCTGGCAAGTGTGAGGCCCTGAGTTCAAACCCCAGTACCACTAATATAATAATAATAATAACAATATCCAGATGTTTCACCTCCCAATCTGAGTCCTCTCTGCTTCCAGATTGCCACATCTTGGAGAAGATAACTGGATAGGGCGGTGGAAGCCATACAGTGGAGAGTGGGTGAAGCCAAGAGCAGCAGAGCATCCATAGGGAAAGCTGGCAGGGACTGTCGGTGTCAACTGTTGGCCTGCAGAGGGAGAAGCCCACAGCTAGCAGAGCTTCTGCTGCCTGTGTGTGTGTGTGTGAGAGGGGAGGTGGTGGTCCTTTCCTAAACACCTGAAATAGCCAGAGGAATGGCTAGGAAACCCTGAGGCATGGGAACAGGAAGTGCCTCAAGGAGTTCCCATTGTGGGACTGACCAAAGGTAAGCTTGTCCTCAAACAGAACACTTACTCAGCTCAATCAGCTGAGTCTCATTCATACCCACCCAAATCTCAGAGAACCAGTCTGATATTAATGGCTGGTAGGCACTCCGACCCTGAGGACGACACAGAAGACATGCATGCTTTGTGCTCACCCACCCCTGACCTGTGTTAGCCATGCAATGTGCTCAGGCCCCAACAGCCTCTCCAGTCTGCTGAACATTCAGGCCACCCCAGATGGCCTCTCAGGTCCAAAGCCCCTTCTAGCACATGCCAGCAATAGCCATGCTGCCAGGGCCAAGCAGGGCAGGACCCCTACAGAAGGTAGGTGCCCTCAGATCAGGGAGAATGCTGCTGGCCAGGCCAGTGTTCCTAGACTGGCAACCACTGGAGTCCTTCCCATCTCCACCCAGCCATCTGAAACTCAAGGCAGTGTGAATTCCCTCCATCCCTTCTCACCCGAGGGCATCACCTACCAGCACACTAGCAAGAACATGCACAAGAACAGGAATCACTCTCACACATGCTCCTCTTGCTTGCGCAGACTCTCTGAGGCACTGAGTTTGCCTGCAAGAGGTGGGGGCACATAAGCACCTACCCAACAGCACAGCCCAGACCTCTAAGTGAACATGGAGCAGGAGAGCTGAATAGAGAGACCACCAGGAGCTAAAGACATGCACAAGACAGACTCGACAGGTCCACTCCACACCCCAAGCACATCTCCAATGCAGGGAAGTCCCTGACAACAGAAGCCATGGAATGGGGCAGACACAGAGCTCCTGGCAGTCCTGTTGAAGCCTCAGCTTCTGTTTCAGCTCAGTACTTCCTCGTGGGTCTGTGGCATCCAGGTACACTGCAGCAGTGGTTGGTGACACAGGCTTCAAGTGTGGCCTGGCTCCTGAAGCTTGAGTCCTCTGGGCACAGGGACATCCCAGGATTGTTGATCCTCAGGGCTGGAACAGCATGCTGGGACACTGTTCACTTCTGACTCCAGCCGATCTAGGCTGCCTGCTCCTCCTAACCAGCAGAGAGATCATGTGGTCCCCAGGAGACTAGTCAACTGACACCTGGGACACTCTACCTGACAGCCATTGAAGTCAGGCTGCCTGTGGACAGCGCTCAAGGTAGGCCAAGAAACAGGATGAGGTGGTGCCTTGGGGACTATCAGAGATGGTAGCACTGTGCTAATAGGGCAGTGGCAACTGTGCTCCTAGAAGCCCCCAAACAAGCAGTGAGAAAGAAAAGACACCACAATACGCTGGCTCTCTGAGCCAGGGTCTGAAGTAAGGAAGGGCATGGCAGACACAAAAGTCTGACAGTGTATCCTTTATTCTAGTAGCTGACTGAGGTCTGAGCTGGCCCTCTATCTCCCTCCACCAGGAGAACACCGGGGCTCTCAAGGATGGCTGCAACCTGATGAGCTAGTGGGCCTCAACCCAGCTTTCCTGTCAGGAGGGTTGTGGCCTTCTACCACTGAACCTTGTACAGACCTCCTTGTCCCATCGTGACAGGTACCTTGTCTGACTCTGGAAAAAACAAGTGGGCAGCAGCAGGGACAGACATCATGGCTGGAGCTACCACCTTCCAGACCTAGTGACAGTGTCTGGGAATCCTGGGCCCAACCCTGGGTTAGCTCTATGGCTATAGTGCTGGCAAAAGTGACAATGGCCACCAGGATAAATACCATCACCCACAACAGACATGAACTGTGGTCCTGAAAATCCATGGGGCATCTCCAGGGGGGATCCAACCCCTGCAATGGTGACATCTCTGGGGTCTGGGTGGTCTTGAGCTCTCATGTCAACTTGTGGGCCTTTACTGCCACTGAGAGATTATGCATGACCTCTAAAAAGATAGCCACTTTCAGGTTAAGGCATTTCAGGGAAGGGAAAAAGCAACTCACCATGGGAATAGATAGTTCCCACCCAAAGCAGACATCATACAGCACTGGCCAGACACCTCCAACAGGTTGCTATGACCTTTGTAAATCCAATCTGTGCCCCCTGGGCAGCTCAGACCATGTGGCCAGGGCTGCCCCTCTCCTCACATACAGACATGCCTCACATATAGACATGCTGTGTGCATGGAGCCTAGACCCACTCTCCAGAGGCAAGATAATGGCCTGAAGAGCCTCTGGGATGGCCTTGCCAAGGGCTGGCATCTCTGGAGGCTGTGCAGGGAGCAGGCACTCAAGCCTTTGCAGGCCAGAGCTGGCCGCACTAGCCCCTCACTCCTGTTTCTTCCCAGCCCACACTAGCCCTGGAAGTTCCCTCCCCTTGCACCACAGCAAGAAGCTTCAGCAGGAGGGGCGCTGGGCCCCAACCTTGCTTGAAGCAGGCTCTGTACATGGGTGGATAAGCAAAGCAAGATGACACTCAGAGAGGTGGCTTCCCTTTTGGTCTGGGGCTAGAGTCACCACGAGGGATGGGCTGTGCCACACAGGGGCCAGGGAAACACAGCACGGCCAATACTTTGCTCAGGCCTTTTGCCATCACCTGGACGAAGCGGGTCATGTGAAATCCATGAGACCGAGTCTCCAGGCCAGCTCAAGCACCATGTCTGGGCAAAGCAGGTTGTAGCATGTGAAGAGTCAAGCTCCAGCGTGCTCTGCTTGTCTTCCTCCAGGAATCATGGCCAGCTCAGGATCACATGACTCGGTGGCATGTTGCATGGCATCCTGTGGCCAACGCAAATGCACAGCTTAGGAGTCCTGCACAGGCCAAGGCCTATGCTTGCAGGCAGCTGGGTGGAATGAAGGATGAGGCTCCACGGAGGACCCCCTCTCTGAAGATACACAGCCAAGATGGTCCCTACTGCCCTCTGGTAGGACAAAAGTGCCACTGTCAGGGCTTTGGAGATGACCAAGTATGGTCCTCTCAGATACTGCTGAACTGTTTGGAGGTGGCAGGCATGGACGGGGGTTCCACCTGAGGGCCAGTGGCCTAGGTGTGGTGTTGCTCTCTTTGGGAGGCTGCATGGGCCTCCCAGCCAGTGCTTCCCTCCAAAGTCTGACCCAATGTGGAACTTCTAGAACAGTTCATGTAGCTCATGCTCAAGAAATAGTGTTTGCTTTTTCTTCAAGTCCCACAAAAATCCCTAAGTGAACTGGGTATGATGATGAGTGCCTGTGATCCCAGCACTCAGGAGACAGAGGCAAGAGGATTGTGAGTTCGAGGCTAGCTTGGGTTGCATAGCGAGACCCTATTCTCAAAAAATTCTGAAAATAGGCTGGAGGCATGGCTCAAGTGGTAGAGTGCATACCTGGTAAGCTCAAGGCCCTGAGTTCAAATCCCAGTACTGCCACCAAAACCACAAAACAAAAACCCCAAAACACGAATTATGATTTCCATACTTGCAAATGTCTTTGTCCAAAACATCATTTTCAAAATGTCACCCACATTGTCATGAGTCCACAGGAAGCCAATGTTCCCCAGCTGCTGTTTCTAAACTCATGTGCTCGTTTGCTTGATTTCAGCATAGTCCTGTACAGCAGGTGCTACTATGACCCCTTTCAGAGATGAGGAGACAGAGACCAGAGGTGAAGTCTGCAGTCACTCAACCCAATCTAGTCACCCGCTCACTATGACCTGTGCTGTGGAGAAGACTGGGAGTAGAGTGGCTCTCACTGGCTACCACTGAGGTCCTTGTCCTACACACTCACTTCAGACTCCAAGTTGCTTGTGGAGGCTCCTAAATTCATCCTGTAAGCCCACTCCAAGTGGCCCCCTCTTACCCTTCCTCCTGAACCAATTCTCTCCTACCTATTTGCTGCTCAGTGCACTGAGTCCTGCCTCTCCCCACACTGTGACTACAAAGACACCAAGTCCTTTTTTGGGGGGTAGAGGCAAAGTTAGCTGAAACTTGGTAAAAGTTCCAGAAGACCTATAGGTGTATCTTTGAGCATCTCTGATTCGAATGGGGTCACAGCTGTCAGTCTCCTTGCGTGTCCCCATCTGGATGTTCTGCCCTTAGCTGGCCTGTCTTTAACCTGTGCCCAAACTGGGCAACTCTGTCTTCCCTCCTCCATGGGCCATAGACACTTCAAGAATCCTTGTGCTCCAGATGAGTTCAGCTGCCCCCAGGTGGCTTCCCAAAGGGCTCAGGGTGTGAGAGGCCAGCAGAGGCCTCATCCAGTGCCTGTTCCCACTGCCTGGAACCAGTCTGAGACTCTCACACCCTCCTCCTGCTTGTCATACCACTGCCTATGTCACTTTCAAGGTAATTCTAGATCCTTGACCTGTGTCCACTTTTCCTTCCAGGCCACTGCCAGTGCCCAACAGGCCTTCCCCCACCCATGCCACCACTGCCAGGCTCCAGTTCTTCACTGAAGATGTGGAGAACGCCAACTGCTTTTGCACTTTCCCATCGCCTATCTCTCATCCAGCCTATAATCCCCTGTATACCTCACAGTGGACACACTGACCAGACCCCAATCCTCAAGGCTGCCACTGTCAACCCTGCTTCTGTCTAACTACTATTGTCTGGAAATACTTTTTCCTGTTACTTCCTGACCAGGCTTACTGTGACCAGGAGGCCACCCAGGAGACTGCAACTCTGCTTAGGGCAGGCTCCTCCAGCATGAAAAGACTGACACTTGGTCAGGGGCGTTCATCTGAGCATCCAGGGTTCTTGTGCACCATCCTTGGCCTCTGTCTTCCATATGCAGCACCATGTTCCTAGTGTGACAAACAAATGTCCCCTAGGGGCCAAAGCATGCTCAGCCTTTCTACCAGTGGTTTTGTCCACTGGCTTGTCTTCTTGGTCCACATGGCTATGAGAGGGTCACTGACTGGAGAGGACTGGGCCCAGATAGTACTTACACTACTGCTCACTCACCACGATGTAGGTGGCAAGGAGACTGTGCAGGTATCACAGGGACAGGACAGGACAGCTCTGCAGGGTGTGGTTGAGTCTCACTGCCGCCTCCCAGCACCCAGCTCCTGAACACCTCCTGTGCAGTCTAATGGCTTCAGCAGCATTTCTTCTCAGTTTCCTCTGTAGGGGCCCTGGGGGCATCCAGGAAGGACCATGAGCACTGTCACTAACAGCTAGATGTCACAGAACAATCTAAAACACTGGAGGTGACAACTTGGGGAGAAGCTCAGCATGATCCTGACACCAAAGGTCATCACAGGTCTTTATGGAGTGTCAGCTGCAGCTCAGGGCCCATGAGAGCCAGGCGCCCTGTACTGGATGAGTGGCAGTCGTTGTACCAGAAGATACTCAAGAACATCCAAGGTAAAGCCCACCACTTGCTGGGGGCACCCAGGGTTTTTAGGCACACAGAGCCCTTATGAGTCAGCTCAGTGCATAACATCACCACGAGGACCATTTGTGCAACTCTACTTTGCCCCACTGGGAAGACGTTTGGGCCAAGCAGGGGATGGCAATGCCTTTGGTCTGGGAAATCCCTCCAGGCAGCCCAACCTGACTAGCAGATTCCTGGATTTGGGTCTGTTAGCGGAACGGAGCCATTTCTCACAGGCAAAAACATGTTTGGAACCTGATTACGATTTAGATTTTTATGTCACAGTGTGTTTAGGTTGAGTGAAATTCGCATACCTACTAGAGAAGAGTCGACTCCATAAGACTTTGCCCGTAAGAGTCTTGTAAATCCACTAACTTCTAAGGGGATCTAGATCCCTCTCAACTGGTACCCTACATTCTAAAAATGGTTCCCCCTTATTGTCAGCCCCTCACCCCCATGAAGTCTTCCTTAAGCTCAGAGCTGGGTCTTGGGAAGAAGGAAGAGTGTGAGCCCTCTGCCTTCCACCTGAAAGGCATCAGGAAGCACAAGCTGGGATGGGAGGGAATGGAGGCGCTGGGTCACTGCACTTGTAGACTGGTCTTTGCACAGTCCCACACTCTGGGCCTGCCAGTTGCTGGCCTTGTTGAACACTGTCAGCTTGTGCTTTTCCAGTTGCTGAGGCAGGCTGACATTATCAAAATTGTCATAGGCATTGATAGATGTCCTTAAGCTCTAGGAGGACAGCCCTCTTGTGATACAGGTCACCTACACAGCCAGCAAGAACCAGTCATTACTTGGAGGTAGTTGCTACCACTGTGGCCTCGGAAAAGCCTCTGCCTGTGTAACCACTGGAGCCTAGTGCAACCCTTGTACACTCCTGTGCAGGGCAGGCTGCTGGGAGAACAGCCTGGCAGGTGCAGGGAGGAGCTGCTGGCCCCCAGGCTGCTAACCTTCCACTCTGATCAGTGTCTCACTTACAGTCTTGTGGTTGTGGCTCTTGAACTCACTCTAGTAATAAATACCTCACAAGATCAGCTGAGGACATGGTCATGGCACTTTGCCATGCTTGTCCCCAGGGGGACCTGGGCAGAGGGTATCTGGGACACACTGACCATAGGTGCAGGTGGGCACGCGGGGGTCGGGGAGGCAGGTCCAGGAGCCATGGGGCACCTTCTGGACAGCTAGGCTGAGTACTTTGTGGGCAGCTCAGTCAACGTATTTTCTCTGTGGGCAGGGGTGGGAATGCAAACCTGTATCTGATACAGTTTGATAAAGCAAACCTTGAAACTGGCTGGGGGTCAATTTCAAAATCTGTTTATAAAAGTGCTGTTTTTCAGGTGTCCATGGCAGAGCTAGCATGATGCGCTCTTCTCTGGACTTCCCTCTGAAAAGAACTAGGTGTAGTCCAGCTAGGTGATGGCACCAGCTGTGGGCTGTGGTTGATGAGCAGAGAGGCTTGCAATCTTTTTTTTTTTTTTTTTGGTGGGACTGGATTTGAACTCAGGACTTTGCACTTGCAAAGCAGGTGCTCTAACACTCGAGCCACACCTCCAGTCCATTTGTTCTCTGTCTATTTTGGAGATGGGGAGTGGGGGGGTGGATGTTTCATGAACTATTTGTCCATGCTGGCTTTGAACCATGATCCTTCTGATCTCAGCCTCCCAAGTAGCTAGGATGACAGGAGTGAGTCACCGGTGCCCAGCTGAAGCTTGTAATCTAAATAGAACTGTAGGCCTTTGTAATGGAGTTCTGCATTGGGAATCTGGGAGCAGAGGGTGGGGTGATAAAGCCAGGGATCAGCTCCTAGCTTGCCTCTGTATACTCCCACAACTCTACCTTGCCACCTTTTTGGTTTTTGCTGAAACGACACTTCACTAGTGAGGCCTGTCATGACACCCGGTCAGACGGTGCAGTTCCCCATCTCTGCAGCACTTGCTGTTGGACACACCGTACAGCCCTCTGTTCCCTGCCTTGCCCCAACCATCTACACCAGTATCAGATGCAGGCCATAATAAACCTAAACACCAAAACCAAGCAGCAAAATTCTTTTAATGGAGCAGATGCTCCAGTTCTCCCTGAGCTGTAAGCAAGTTAATAGCACATCTTACTGCATTCTAATACTTTCCAGGCAGTTGCTGTGGCATTTGGACCCTGGGGGAGCCCTTCAGCAGCCCAGAAAAGCAGCTCCCACTGCAGAGGGCTGAGCCACTGCACGCAGACCCCAGGCCACCAGGAAGGCCTGTCCTCCCAGCTTTCAAGGTCTGGCCAGGATGCTGTGTCTCTTGGTTTTTTCCCCACTGGTCTTCTGCCATTCTTCTGCTGTCTGATGTCACTCAATGGCTTGTTGACTGAAGTACCAATGTCCAGGGCTGGCACACAGCTCTGCTGCTCAGGTTGTGAGGTGGTTTCTGTGCTCCAGGGTGCCAGGCCAGAGTGACAAGTGTATTTATGTGAGTGAGCAGGGGTCCTGGGGTGTGCAAGGGGCATGATCAGCCCGAAAGCTGTGTTGGGGGCAGGCGGTGGGTGCTGTGGAACTCTCCAGCAATGCTGGGCTTAGGTAACCCAACAGCTACGTGAGGCCCTGTGGTTTGGATGCCACACAGACCATAGAAGGGCATTGACAGGGCCCCTCTATGGTTTACTGTCACTTTGCCTGTCTTCCTTCTGTTTCTCTGCCCTTTCTCTCTTATATTAGAGCCCTTCTGCCACCTCAAATTCTGACCCAGGTGGGCCACAAGGTCCCCAGCACCAGTCCTGTGGGCACAGAGCACACACAGCAGTGGCTCAGCTCATTACTAAGCTTCCTCTGCTCACTGGCTGGTCCCCAGCAGCTCTGGAACCTGTCACCTCTCCAGGCTGGCCCTCTCGTTCAGCAGCACAGGAGCCAGACCAGAGGGGTCTCCCCAGCCCTCTAATAAGGGATGTCACACCGGGTGGAGTGTGGGCAGAGTTCAAGTTCACCTTCTATGGTGTCTAATCCTACTAGCTTCACCTCAGGACAGCTGTGGGATGACAGTGGTGTACAAGGACACTCACCAAGGCTCTCATGTTAACAGAGGTGACATTGACGGTAGTCAAAGCTGGGCCCCACCATCCCTGCCTTTCGCCCTATGGGCACCAGGATGATGGACATTCTTGGCACCTCCCCACTTTTTGTGGCACCAAGGATTATTAACCTCAAGGCCTTAAGCTTGCTAGGCACAAGCTGTGGCACTTATGCCATGTCCCCAGTCCTTTTTCCTATGGTTTGTTTTTGAATATGGTCTTGTTAATTTTGCCCAGGATGGCCTTGACTGGTGAATCTCCTGTCTCTGTCTCTGAAGTCGGAATTCCATACTCCCAACAAGTCCACGTGGCATACAAAGTGCCCCGGGTCCCTCTAAGTGGCACAACTTGCCACACTCCCACCTCAGTCACTCTGGTGCTGAGGCCCTTGGTGGAGATGCATCTGTGTTGCACTAAGGTACTGGGATCTGAAGCCCCTGTCACCGAGAATGCAGCAGGTTTTATGGGCCACCTAGAGCATCCCCTGCTTCTGTCTGGGGAGTGCTGGTGTCTGTGCAGAGTCCTCCTCTAGAGCCATGCCAGGAGACTGCATGGGCAAGGTCACTGGTCTTGCATGCATCAGGACTTATAGCACTAGAGCGACTGCCAGCAGAGCAGTCAGTAAGGACAGCAGCACTGTGCCCTGTGCTGGGGACATTGTGCACATCATCTCTGCTGCACCCCAGAGCCTGGAGGCAGGGCAGTATCTCTGGTTTGTAGAGAAGAAAACTAAGGCAAGAGGATTTCATCACAAACTCTGGGTGACCAGCTGGGGTGCTGCAGGCTCCTAATGAAAGCACCTAGTATCCTGTGAGAAGTACCCACTGATAACCAGGCATGGAGGAGCAATTAAGTCCATTTTAGGGGCAAGACAAATCGGATCCACAGCGATGACACCCTTGGCCTATGGTGACAGACATCTGATGGAGCCAGAATGCCAATCCTGTCTGTCAGCTTAGCCCATCAAGGTACCAGGTGGACTCACAGCACCAGTCTCATGTGCCTTGAATGCAGACTGACTGTCACCCCTTAGACACTGCTAATGTCTACCTGTTGTGACAGGAGGTCGTGTCTCTACCCTGCCCAAGTATGAGCTGACATGTCTCCCCCATGGCAGTGTGGCAGGAGCCTTGTAAATCACACAAAGAAGGGACCCAATTGTCAGCCTGGCACACTGCAGGCGAGAGGCACTGACCTCCTGCATGACAGGCCTCACTCATCCTCATTTTCGGTACGCTAAGAGACAGTGAGCACTACCACTTTGACAGACCAAGCATGTCATTTGTTTCTTTCTTTTTGTTGGTGGTAGGCAAGTGCTTTACTGCTCGAGCCATCCCTTCAGCCCCCTTTTCAAAAAAAATTTTTTTGACATAGTCTCACCATTTATCCCAGGCTACCTGGAGAAACTCATGATCCTCCTGCCTATGCCTCCCCAGTGCTGGGATTATAGGTGTACACCACCATGCCTGGATAGTATGGATTTTCTAGCACATGGATGCATCTATGTGTCACCTGCCTGTGCTCCACCACAAACCCACAGACTCTGTGCAAGGTGAGATACCTTGTCAGAGATGCCACACCTGGTAACATGGATGTCCTCCTCCAAAAACCTCACGCACATGCGGGTCTGGAGCTTTACCTTGATTCTTCCTTCAGACAGTTCCCAAGAGGCACAGAAGCTAAAGACCTCACTCAGCAGCCCACCCACCCACC